CCAAGACATTTCCAAATGCCATTTCCCCATCGTTTAAACTGTCTCCTCCTAATAAAACATGGCAAAACACCAAAAGCAAAAGACATGTTAGTTCTTTTACATCATTATTTACAATTATATCAATGCCAGAGCATTAAACTGATTTTGTGCATAATATGTTTCTCTGTTGCTAATATGACAGGAATAATCTAACCTGGATTCACTGCACAATGACAGGGAATAGCACAGTGCAGCTGAGTGCCAGATGTGGATGATAAAAAATGGGAAGTATATGCAGGAAATATTTAGGATTTTTAACCTGCTCTTGGCATTATACTTTTGCTGTAGTGATTATATAAAGCAACATTGATGCAGGATTTTGTCTTGTTTTCACTGAGTATGTGTGTTGCTGTGATTATGCTGAAGGTAAGATTTCATCTTAATCCTTTGATTTAAATATAGTATATGTGTAAATGTAGCATCAGATATTGGTCATGTAATCGAAAGAAAACATAAATCTGTACATGCAAACATTTTTCCAGCTTCTCAACGTGTCCAAATGTCATTCATCTTCAGTGGCCTATACCCTGGCAGCGGTCCAGACAGAGTCCTCTATGGCACATATATTCTCAGCAGTGACTCATTCTGGTGTTTTGAGCCTCCCGGAGGAAGCTCTCTTTCTCTCTCCGTAATTCCTCAAGCTGAAATACTGAGAAGAACCTCACAATGCTGCTTTGTCCTTCAAAAACACTGAAGTCATAGTTTCCCAGGCTGCTACCCCCTGAGATGCCTAGAACTGAAGAACTGAGAGGAGGGGCGCAGAGCTTAGTAAATTGCTTGCTAAATTTTTTTGCCATGAACAAAAGGGTACAATACATTCTTGTGCTTCTGTAGGGATCTTCATTACCCCAATATAGCTGATGATGTTCTATAAAATGTTCCCCAGCCTCCTTCACTTTGATAAATGAATGCAATTCAGAAATTAAGGATTGTTTCCCTTTGAGCATGAATCTGAATTGAATTGGCACCAACCTGTTTGTCTGTCTGTGTTCTATCTATCTATCTATCTATCTATCTATCGTTCGTTCGTTCTATCGTTCGTTCTATCTATCATTCTAACATTTGTTCATTCTGTATCTCTCGTTCAGTCTACCTGTCTGTTTGTTGTTTTAGCTATATATCTGATGTTTGTTCTGTCTATCATTCTAGTTATCTAGCTATTGTTTGATGTATCTGTCTGTCTGTCTGTCTGTCTATTGTCTTTCTGTCTATTCTATCTATCATTTGTTATATCATTCATTCTATGTTTCTCTGTTGCTAATATGACAGGAATAATCTAACCTGGATTCACTGCACAATGACAGGGAATAGCACAGTGCAGCTGAGTGCCAGATGTGGATGATAAAAAATGGGAAGTATATGCAGGAAATATTTAGGATTTTTAACCTGCTCTTGGCATTATACTTTTGCTGTAGTGATTATATAAAGCAACATTGATGCAGGATTTTGTCTTGTTTTCACTGAGTATGTGTGTTGCTGTGATTATGCTGAAGGTAAGATTTCATCTTAATCCTTTGATTTAAATATAGTATATGTGTAAATGTAGCATCAGATATTGGTCATGTAATCGAAAGAAAACATAAATCTGTACATGCAAACATTTTTCCAGCTTCTCAACGTGTCCAAATGTCATTCATCTTCAGTGGCCTATACCCTGGCAGCGGTCCAGACAGAGTCCTCTATGGCACATATATTCTCAGCAGTGACTCATTCTGGTGTTTTGAGCCTCCCGGAGGAAGCTCTCTTTCTCTCTCCGTAATTCCTCAAGCTGAAATACTGAGAAGAACCTCACAATGCTGCTTTGTCCTTCAAAAACACTGAAGTCATAGTTTCCCAGGCTGCTACCCCCTGAGATGCCTAGAACTGAAGAACTGAGAGGAGGGGCGCAGAGCTTAGTAAATTGCTTGCTAAATTTTTTTGCCATGAACAAAAGGGTACAATACATTCTTGTGCTTCTGTAGGGATCTTCATTACCCCAATATAGCTGATGATGTTCTATAAAATGTTCCCCAGCCTCCTTCACTTTGATAAATGAATGCAATTCAGAAATTAAGGATTGTTTCCCTTTGAGCATGAATCTGAATTGAATTGGCACCAACCTGTTTGTCTGTCTGTGTTCTATCTATCTATCTATCTATCTATCTATCGTTCGTTCGTTCTATCGTTCGTTCTATCTATCATTCTAACATTTGTTCATTCTGTATCTCTCGTTCAGTCTACCTGTCTGTTTGTTGTTTTAGCTATATATCTGATGTTTGTTCTGTCTATCATTCTAGTTATCTAGCTATTGTTTGATGTATCTGTCTGTCTGTCTGTCTGTCTATTGTCTTTCTGTCTATTCTATCTATCATTTGTTATATCATTCATTCTATCTATCGTTCGTTCGTTTAATTTGTCAATTTCGTCTGTCATTCTAGTTATCTATCAATATATTGTTCATTCTATCTATCTATCTATTTAAATAGATAGCCATTATTTGCCTTCCTTCATACTTCAAAAAACAAAAATGTGACCAAATGTATCGTGGCATTGATTATGAATCATTCAAAAATTAATAAGTCCACATGAAGGCTGGATATTGATATCATAAAAATTATGTTTTCACATCAGAAATGTAATCCTCTCCTCTTTTTGCATATCCCATTATAAATTCCTGATGTAAGCTTGTGAAAGTGCACTTTGAAAAGGTCAAGTGTCTTGTTTTTTAAACACTGCTCAAGAAGCTCATGTTGGTTGGCTACAGAAACACTACACTTTGTTTGCTTGTGTGGAATAGATCAGTGACAATATTAAAGGGGTCATATGATGCGATTTCAAGTTTTCCTTTCTCTAGGAGGGACTTTGTAGAAAACGAAGCGTTTGAGAGAGGCGGGGCATATAGGACCTACAATAATGTACAGTATTTGAAAAATAATGTGTTTTTTGAACATTAAAGCATGTCAACATATTCTGTTACACCAAATACACAAAATAATGATCTTTTAAAAAGCATCATATGACCCCTTTAATGCTATGGTGGTGACATGCACGACCCACGTTCATAAATATAACACTGAGTAATGCAGCTATTTCTGAAAGAAATATGAAATGAGGTGAGATATATGCCCTATGTATTTTCGCACCATGTATTTTAGTGAGAATGCGATGTGAATGTATAGCTATTGATTTTGTCATTGAATTCTAATCTCACATCTTATAGTGTTTTGCAGTGTCACTCAGACCATGATCCATCTCACTAAGAGCTTTTCTCCTTCACTGCAAGATTGCAGATAAAATGACATGATGACAGAGCTATGATGTGGGTCTCTGCGACTGCAGGTTTAAACACCTCGCTGACAGGAAGTGTCAGGCCACTGTCTTAGTTCTCAGAACATCAAATCTTTGAACATCCTTGACACCTGAATGAACAGAGCTTGTGTCACATGTTCATTTTTTGGACACCCTGAATTCATTTTTGAGCACTCAAGGTTTTAGATGCAAAACAAATCAGATACTTCCAAACACATTTTAACACATCCTGCCATATTATGCAAATCAAACTAATTATGAATCACCCACAGAATAAAAAAACAAAAACAAAACAAAACTTGAGTCTGAATTGAACATCTGTGCTGTTTCTTATTTCTTATTTATAACAAGATCACATGCAACCATCAGATATCCATGCTTCGTTTTAGACCTCACAATGTCCTTATGAACTGCAGGTTTGGAATGAACAGAATGCTACATGGGTTAGCAATTAATGAGCCTCCATTCCCAGTTTTCCAGCTAACTACCAACCTTTTAACCATCTCCCTGAATAAACTGAGAAATGCAATATGTAGTGACCTAGAGACTGACTATAGTATCCTTTTCTTTCACTCACTTTCTAGCTATTTCAAGGTTTTTATCTATTGCATGCATTTCACCCTCATGTTGCATAAAGCCCTTATTTGTGTATTTTTTATATGATGCATTTTGATTAATCAGTTGAAGAATTCAAAGGACAGAATGACATTTATGAATGGCATCGTCCAGTGCCTGTTTCCTGTATGGCTGTGGTCACATTAGGTCTCTATGTGCCCTCAACAAGTTATGAATTAAAAGTCATATTAATACTGCCAATGCAATTTATCCCCCCACTAACTTTATAAAACACAGTTAGCAGGTATTTTTTCAAAATAAACACCAACAGTGTTCCTCATTCTTAAAACTCAAATCAGTAGGCCTATTTCATGTCCATATTTGAAGAGTTCAGATGCAAAAGTCTCTAAGTACGTCTGACGTTTTTCTTTAAAATTAGCATTTCTTTCTGGCTACTATGTATAGGTTTCTGTGTAAGTACTGGTACTTCTGAATGGGTTGAGGCTGGGATTTAGCGCATTTGAAGTGAAAGTACTTGATGAACATATACTATGTGTGGAGAGCATTCACTCAGTATTGTTATCTCATTTTTGACCAAGATGGCTTTTAGAGGCTTTTGCATTGGAACTCTTCATTTTTATTTATTTGCTGTGTAGTAGGGTGTACAGTCTGCTGGTCATTACTGCAAAGTAAACCTCCTTCAGGGTTATACAAGATCACTTTGATCACCCTGCCATGGTTTATTTAGCAATAATGACATTTGTGGCAGTGATGCAATTATTGCCTATACTAAAAGGTAATAGTATCAAGTGTTGGTCTGGGTCCTCACTGCCTTATGTAATCTATTGTGTATAACTTCCTATTTTAGTTAATAGCTATGAGAAATGGGACACAAAACAAACACATTGATACCTCTAAGGAAAATGATACCTTAAACTAAACACATTGGCTTTAGAGAATGGAAGTGTAAACGAAACGCCCTGTGTGAGGGAGTGTGTGTTTGTGTGTGTGCCCTGGGAGGGGTGCATATGGAACTGATTGGATTGGTTGGGGGACTGAATTCGACAATAGGAGGAGTCTCATACGACGCTCGTGCGCTATTCTGTTCTTTGCTTTGCCGCTGAGATTGTAATGCAACGGAGCCCAATCGAGCTCAGATTATGCCATCTCAACTCTTCCTTCCAGAGCATGCGGACCTGAGGACCACATAAACGGCATGGGCACAGACGCAACGCCGCATCACTCACACCGAAACCTCTTGTAGGCAGGAATTGTATTTTCTTCAGTCACTTCAGATGGCAGATCTTGAACAAGAAGGAGCAGCTTCTCCCCGAGCCCAGCAGCTCTTCTGAACGCGAGGGATCGGATCTGAGAAAGCGCAGGTGTGCCCGGGGTGCTTACAGATGCCCTTGTGCTTCTTTCTAAAGGGGATAGTATCAGGATTACCAGCAGATGTAAACTGAAGGACACTTCTGATAGGTACTGGCGAGGAAGAAGGGGGGAAAAAGCTGCAAACTGTGAGAATCGGGAGCTTGCGCGCAAGGCTCAACATATCACTGGATTCTACATTTATACCTCAAGAAAAATGTCATCTCAGACGAAGATTAAGAAGGACAAGGAGATCATAGCGGAGTATGAAACGCAAGTGAAAGGTATGCATGCTTGCCTGTTACGAATCGATCCGAGGAGTTTAGATGAACATCATTTCACTTGGCCTGCAGCGAGATACTTGGATGTTTGATCCGATTCATAACCTGCTTCTCTAAATAAACAAAGATGACTTGTTTAAGCCGTAATAACGTTTATTCTTTAAAATTTGCAGCTATTTTTATGCTCCTGGCACTCATTCATTTAACTAGTGAGTATATATTAAACCAGTAGGCTACTTAGGGTATTCATTAGATGCTAGTAGCCACACTCTGTTAGGTTAATTAGTACTTTTTCATTACTAGTAGTATTCTTTAGCTACTAGCCGTCACTATCCCAACAGTGACATGTTACTAGTCCATTACTGGTAACATATTTTTGCATCTTTGGCTCTGACATCAACTATTCACTTCCATCTAATACTGTATGTTTTTCCAGTTGTTGTCAGTCGTGCTAGTAACTATTTTATATTTTACTATTTAGTATTAGTGTATTGGGTATTTCTTAATTATTACTATCCCAGTAGTTAGTAGTATTGACTTTACATTACATACTAGCACTTGTTAGACACTAATGTGAATTTCATTTATTACTAGTAACAGTTTTGATTTTACTATAAAGTAGCCATTCTGACTAGTCATTACACACTTAATGAGATGATTAGTGAGATATGAAATGTTACTAGTAGCAATTGGCATAGATACTAGTATCTCATAAACAGGACAGCAATAAAGTCCATGTAATGGTTTGGCATTTGTGCATCAAGACCTGATTGCGTCTCATTCTGGCTTCTTGCTGCCTTTTTTACCCCAATGTTTGACTTTGTGTTTGTTTGTCTGAAGTTGCATTGTGCAATAGTTGGGCGGGATGTCCTTGCTGTTTTGTAGCCATCTGTCCCTTCCTCATGTCAAAAATGTGTCCAACAATAACAACATTAGTAACTTTGATTCTGTTGACACTGGGTGTTGTGCAGCACAGGAATGGTTTGATATATTCAAATGTGTTTTATTGCAATGACTCGTGCGCCGTTGCACATAAATTCCTGCTATTAATGGTCTGCACATTAAGTGTTTGTGCACACATTGTGTTTTGGTGGAAACAAGAAGCTTGGGTGAGGGTTTTTGTTGCTGGGTAGAATGATGTGTTGTAGTGTCACGCTCTCTGCACAGATGGGTGGAACTTCAAGGAGACCAGCGAGCTTGGTTAATTCTTCTCCTTTGTTTACAGTGTACTAGACCTTTTTGGCAGATCTTGCATTGAGGGGAAAACAAAGATCTGTGTATGTAAAGCAGGCAAGTATTCTAGTGATCAAGTGAGTATGTCTAGATGGTGATCTGTTGTTGTGAACAAGATGCACAGATGTTATATATTGTTCCCCCCGTTTACAGGATACTTTCCCCCTCAATAGACTTGAATGACAGTTGGTGTTTGACTAAATGTGTCCATTCACAAAGCATTTTAACAGCTTTAGTGTCTGTAGTGTATATTTGTTGTTTGTCAGACTGAGCTTGTCTGTCAAGGTTTAGAAACTAACTAGGTTTAGTCTGAAAGGGCGTTGCAGAAGCAGTTAATTGATTGGCTACTCTCAATAATGATGGTGAAGGTTCAAAGGACTCTGGTCATTGAAATGAAAGGCTGGATTATTTGTAAACCCAATAGAAAGGGTGAATAATAACTGAGAATAGTCATTAATTATTAACTGTTAATAGTACAAACACTTAACTAGTTGCATCCATTTAAAATGAGTTTGCTTATGCAGCAGAGCAGGGTTTGGTAATTTCTCCCAGTTAGCATTTATTAATGCTATAAATGCACTTATTAATATTCAACATTTAAAACTGGCTGTCCTGAATTTCAGGGATTAAGTGTAATGTGATGCACACTGAATCTGCGGTGGGATTTACAAAGTCTGTTCCTCTACTCGAGGAACCCTTCACATTAAACGTCTCTGATGTGATTCTCGCTTGAGTAGCTTTTGTTAAAAGAGAGTCTTGCCCCTCAGTGTTTTGAGAAGACCACATGGCTCTCAAGCATAGAGGGGCCCGTCCTATACTTTGGATTTACATAACTGTTGTGATCTGTAACACTGCCACTCTCTTCAACAAATGCTATTAACATTAAAATGTGGACCAGGCCTTCCCCCATCTGTAATGAAATGGTACCAAAGAATTTAGAAAATGTCAGAATATGTATAAATCCAGCTGGACTTGCTAAGATTAGTTGTAGTAATATATTTTAATTTAATAGTAATGATGATGATAATAATAATAATGATAATGATATTATTATTAAAGGTATTATTATTATTATTATTATTAATATTATTTTCCATGATGCTCCATTTTATAGATTATGTTTACATATTATTATGAAGTATTTCATTTTGTTCAATGTATTGGTTTGGTACTGTATTTGGTGTTGGTAACACATGTAGTTTGGTGATCTTTAAATTCAGAAGGTCACAGACCATAGTCAGTCTTTGTCAAATCCAGATCTGGTGGTTACACAAGGGAGATGTAGTCTGGAATAGTAATGAGCTTTATCTTCAATCATTAGCCTTTTGAGCAGCAAGCTACGAATGACACAGAGTGGTTTGCTAATGCCAGATGGACTTCCATGACACAGACCCATGTTAGCTAGTGGTGACCCTTTGATTTCCTTTCACCTCAGCAATTTACCATAGCAGATGGAATGGTTACAAACAACAGCAATATAATCTTGATGTGGTCAAAATCATCTAGCTCATGTTATATTGATGCATTTGTTTGTAACAATCACTAAAGTGTTTGGTGCAAATGACTCTCAGATATAAATTTCCATATATCAACTTTAAAATCACTAATTTTCATAAAACTAAATGTGAAACAAAAGTGACATATTTAGATTGTGCAATTTGTCAACAGCTCTGGAGCCATTAACACAAACTGCTCTACTGTCTGGCACCTCTCCATTGATGTAAACCCTAGAGAATGGTAGTGAAGTAAAAGATGTTAAGTGGAGATTCAGAGACGTGAGCCGATGAAGGGCCGCATATGTAATCATCACAGAACATTTCACCTACATAATGTACGAAAAGGAGGTTGGAAACAGCTAATTGAAGTCACAATGAATTATGTAAGAATGAAGATTGAAGAGATGAAGAGTAAAGCAAAATCAAGTACAAAAAGAGAATGAGTAAAGAAGAAAGAGGCGGAGTTGAGAGATGAGTAGTTTAAGCGTTGTTGGTGAATCTTTTGAAAGATTACTACATTACTCCAGTCTTCAGTCTCACATGATCCTTCAGAAATCATTCTAGTAATAATTAAGCACCAAATCAGCATATTAGAATGATTGCATATTAGTAATGGATGTTGAAAATGCAGCTTTGCCATCACAGGAATAAATTGCATTTAAAAAAATATTCAAAATAGTTATTTTAAATTGTATAATTTTCCAATTTTGATTATTGAATTTTATTAAACCAGATTAGTGAATACTGAAATTTATCACATGAGAGTGAGTAAATTATAACAGAATTTTCCTTTTTTGCAACCTTTTAAGGGAAACGTATATAACCCCAGGGGCCACAAATACTAATGACTCACTTTAGTTTTTTTTCATGATGTCATATTGGTAATGATATTCAGTTCAATTATAGTCTTCATCAGTGCATACAGTCAAATCACCATGTGAATAACAGAGCAGTAATCACCAAATCATCCTGATAACTTCCGTCTCTAGCGTATGAATCCAGGCAGGTAGCAATAACTCACAGTGTGACAGAAGTGATTTAAAAATGCATTTCATTACGAGCTTTCTGATACGGCCCTAAAGAGACCCATCCATCGCAAACCAATCACTGCGCAAAAAACTAGCATAATATGCATGCTGGTGAAATACCCTGTTAAGATGATAAACAATCCTTATACGAGCAGCTGAGAGTAAATTAGCATAAAACCGCCCACTCCCTGCTCATGCATGCTTTCCACGTGGAACCTTGCTTAATTAAACAGAAGCATTGCTCCTCTGACACATGCACATGCAAATTGCATAATTAATGTTTTGAAATTCGCAGGAGCCTTTCAAGCTGTCAAGATGAGTACAGAAGAGGGTCAAATGCAAATACACTAAATATTCTATTTACATCAGTGAAACACACAAAGAGATAATAGGACAGAATGTCTGAGATTCTAGGCTGTTCTTGGAAAGTGGATGGTGATTTGTAATTCTAAGCCCCAAAATGGACAAAAAGCAGTGAAAAAACATCAGGAAAATAGTCAATAGGAGTCACACACTGTAATTCAAGTCTTCCGAAGCCATATAAGAGATTTCTGTGTTTGGTGAAAATCTTTCATCCTAAAATCACATTTGTGTTTGCAGACATTGGTGTCTTGAGATGCTTCACGCCAGATTCAACATCTGTGAATTTAAATGCTATTGGTTCTCATGTGTCTGGTGACCACAAAGAACCAATATGCACAAGCTCCTTTTGGAAGTTAACAGTCCCTGGTTACTGTCTATTTTGTTGTAAGGAAAAAGAGCAGCTTGGAAATTTTGCTAAATGCTTACGTTTCTATAAAATACATAGAAAAGAAAATCATACTGATTTGGAATGACATGGGGGTGAGTTTCCATTTTTGACTATTTTGCTCCTTTAAAATCTCTTAGAAGATTTACTTTGGGTGATTTATAAACCAGAAATATAACATTAGTAATAAGTGTTTGAACATTTTATAATAATTGTAAATATACAGTAGTATATTGCAGATTTTTCATGTTTTAACGCAGCACAATTTTTAGTCATGCTGGAGCCAGTTATTATTATTATTAATTTTTTTACCCTCAAGTTTATTAACCGGTAAAGACACTTTTTTTTAACCTTGTTGGATAGTCTAGCAAGACACAAAACTATATTATGGAATTTAATTATGTAAGAAAATTATATTCTGAAATGTGATATAGCTAGTTTCTTGTGTATGCGGAAAATTCTTTACAACAAGTTCTACCAGTTTTTTGTTTAATGTTT